AGTTATATGTCAGCTAGGAGAAGATGAAAACAAATTAGACGCCAAGAGCTGAACTAGTTCATCTTAGAATATGAAGAAAGAACGATTATGAAAAACTATTTAAAGAAAATTTAACTAAACCTCATAATGATATATGCTTCAAGATTAAATTAAAATATTTATGATCTCATTCAATGTAAGCCTAAGTCAATAACCAACATCAATGTCTCGAAAGAGATGTTCTTATGGGATTGCAATAAGGAAGAACTTTCTTTGGTATAAAGGATTGTGGAATAATTGTCAATGTCGATTTCTTTTTCTATTAGTTTTTCAACAAATTTTTATAACCATGTGGTATCTAACTATTCATTGGTTTTTCGGAAAAAACAAAATTATGATAAAAATACTTATCTTCTATATCGCTTGCTAAAATAAGTTAATATTAATTTATAGAAATGTTCATATTGATTTCTTGGATTTTTATTTTTAAATTGAAGTTAGATTTTGACTCACGCCAAGCATGGGATTAAATGATTAAATATGTTTTCTAATCGATTTTAGTATTTAAATATGTATGAAAAAATATATGATTTCTAATATTTATAAACATACAAAAATGATATGTATTGTGTATAAATATAATAAAGTTGAATTTTGATCAAGCATATTTTGATGTCATTGGGTTTAATATTTTTTGTGTAAAATTGATCAAAACATACGCAAATATTATTTATTTTAATATATTTTAAGTGTAAAATTGAATTTTATTATTTGTGTAAATTATAGACTATATGATAAATCATATAAATTTTAGATTTATATGAATTTTTCGGACATAACAAATATATATATATATATATGTTTTCCAATAATGAAATGTATATATATTTGTAAGTGTAGTGATATATGTATAATAGACTACATCATAATTAAAATATTTGTATAATATGCTATTCTAAATACATATATACACAATAAATCATTGTTATGGTAAGTCTAAAATATAACATTTAATTGGGTTTAAAATTTTAAAACATTATTAATGGGTTTATGTTAAAAATTAATAAGAAAATGTAGATAATTTCCACCATCGCACATACTTTTAATTGAAATGTT